TAATAATAAATTTTTGTTCATTTTTCATCGGACTTGTGCATTCATTTAGTAACGAATCCGTACGCACGCAACAATTTTTTGGTGTCAGGAGTGGGGTTTGAATGCCAATAACAAGAGCGATGGAAGAGCAGTTAAGGCAATTGATAACAGCCTTTGCCTCGTTTAAAGAAGAAATGAAAGAAGAGATAAATCTAACCAAGGAAAGATGGAAGGGGCCGTCAACTCTGTTAAGGACGAAATGAAAGCCGTTCAAGCTGGTCAAGAAAAGATTGAAGCAGGTCAAGAAGAAATGAAAAGAGAGATTACCTTGCAATAATAGAAAATAAATTTGAAGCTATGGAAGGCAGAATTGACACAGTTGAAAATAAGTTGGACTAATTGAAGAAAGAGTTTCTTCGGTGAAAGAAGAAATAGAAGAAAGAGTTTCTTCTGTAAAAGAACATATAGAAGGGAGAGTTTCTGCTGTGGAGGAACGAATTGAAGGAAGAGTTTGTGCCGTCCAACACCAAATCGAACAACAAATTGATGAGAGAGTTTCTGAAGTTGCCAAAGAAATGGATACTTTAAGAAATTCGTAGCGTCGGCAGGGAGCAGAGTGATGATTTTAAATTCTTACCAATGCCTGCTCGTCCACCTCTGAAGCTATCCACATATGATGGGAAGACCTCCTGGCAGGTGTATAAGACACAATTTTTTCTATCGTGGCGGATGCGAATGGATGGGATTCCCAAGCTAAGGCCTGTCATCTCGCCGCTTCTCTAAGAGCCGACGCAGCGGATATCCTTCAGACTCTTCCCGAAAACAAAAGGTTAGATTCGAAGCTCTGTCCGGCGCCTTGGAGTTGCGCTTTGGGAGAAGTGTTTAAAAAGACTACAGCAGGCTCCAATTAAAATCTCGTCAACAGAAGCCTACCGAAACAACCTTCAGGAGCTCGCCGCGGATGTTGAAAGGCGTCTCCTCGCCTTTTCGGAATGCCCGACAGAAACAAGGGAAATCCTGTCCTTGCAATACTTTATCGACGGCATCCGAGATACTGAAATACAGAAAGCTCTACGAATGGCGGATGTAAAAGATTTAAAAAGTGCTCTAGTGTACGCCATGAAATTTGAGGCAGCCCAGCAAGCCACTCGTCGAGACCGCCACCCAATCAGAGCTGCTCAAGTCCAGGAGCCAGGGGATCAAGTCACCGCTCGACTTGACGATTTAACTAGACAACTGAACGCCTTGAGACGGAATATTGGTGAGAAGAAACCGACCGTTAAGTGCTGGAACTGCGGTGCTGAAGGACACATACGAAGAAACTGCAAAAACACCCCCGGGTACTGATGTTAAGAGACCGCTTCTTCTAACAACAGCAGGAAACTAATTAGTGGCCATCTCGCGGGGCGGAGGTTGCCAGATAATGAAAAGCCCCCGTTTAAAAGCGCTTCAGATTTCTGCAATGAGAGGCGGCAGTAATAGACTTTTCATAATAGGACATATTAATGGAGTTCCGTGCAATATGACTATAGATACAGGAGCCAACGTCACTATCATCCAAAAAGATTTGGCTCAACAACTAGGAAACAAACTTATCTGGACGCCGCCCTGCGTTACCCTCCAGACTGTGTCCGGTGAGAAGATCGACATCGACGGAAAAGTAAATGTTAACATCACATTTGGAAGTGCCGCTTACCATCACACGGCATATGTAGCACAGATCACTGATTCTTGCATACTCGGATTGGACTTTCTAAGGAAATACAATTTTTCCTTGGATTTTAAAAAGTGTAAAGTGGATGCTACAAGATATTGTTACGAATTTGGTATTTAAAAAGCAAATGTTAGTTCAATTATAAATTAAATGGTTTATTTCTCGCGCAGTGCAGCGCGTGACGAATATTAAAAGAAAGCTAAGCCGGAAAATTGAAAATACAAGAGCGCGTGCATTAAATAAATAAATAACTCTTTTTCATTTCGAGAAAGTACTGGAAAATTCTAGCGCGTGATTTTAAAATGTTATAAAAGGAGGAAAACATCTCAGTTCGTAGTAGTTGCTTAGTTTGTTGTTGTTTAGAAAACTACTGTTGTTGATTGTAGCGAATTCACGGATTAGCTTTCTTTAGCTGTTTTGAATTACGTTCTATTGGACATTTGAGTAGTTAAAAGAAAACTACTGTGAGATATTGTAATACTGCGTGATAATTTGAGAAAATTTAAGCATTTTTGTTGTGATAATAATAAATTTTTGTTCATTTTTCATCGGACTTGTGCATTCATTTAGTAACGAATCCGTACGCACGCAACAATATTTTATTGAAAGCGTCAATATATATTACACTAAATTTCATTTAAAATAATTTTTTGTATTCATTTAAGAATGGTTTTAACGACTCCGGGTCCAGCGAGGATGCCTGCACTTCGAAGGCCGATGGGAGAGATTATTCCACTGCCTAGTCTCAAGGGTGCAGCTCCAATGATGCCATTTCCGATGATTCCGCTGTTGAGGAGTAGAGGAGAGCCTGCCATGAGTCCGGGTGCTCCGATGATTCCGCTGTTGAGGAGTAGACGAGAGCCTGCCATGAGTCCGGGTGCTCCGATGAGTCTCTTTTCCGTGGTGACCGCTCCTGGGATACCAACAACAGACCCGGTTGACAGAGCTGCTGGTACAGCAGAAAGAAGTGGAGCGCCTTTGAGAGTTAGTCCAGGAGCCAGCAGCCCAGTGTTTAGAAGTCCTGCATTCCAGAGTCCAGGAGCAGCAAGTCCTGGTGCAAGCAGGGTAGAAGCTTGAGTAGCTGCAACAGCAGCGAAAAGGAGAACGATCTGTGAAGAAAACATATATTTTTAATAGCATATCTTTATACAACTTCGCATATTAAATGAAAACTTGCTTTCTGATTTACATATAATTTGCAAAATTTATCCAATTTTTACTTAATGCGGTTAAAGTATTCCAATGCTATTTGCCCAGTGAAAAATGTCTACCTCGGAAAGCTTACTAAGGAAGGTTAGTTTAGATTCAAGCTAAAGACAGAGAAAACAACAAAAGCGCTATACTGGTTATCCGCTTCTCCTCAAGGATAGCAATCTCATGGCACATATTGCTTTGGTTTGTGTTTGCTTTAGGAAGTAACCAACACCCAATGGAACGTAACTACGAAGTACCACTAATTTCCTTACCCGAGTTATCGAGATGGGATACATGCATGCAAACCAAGACTTAATAGCATTTAAATTGAAAATTCCAATGAATCTCTTCTTCAGAATTACAAACCAAAATATGAAACAGTCTACTTGACGAAATTAAAATTCACATTTCAAAACTAAAGGCCTGTTTTTTTTACACTTAGCAACAACCATACTCGTATCCGATGAATCACATATCGTATTTCATTTTAGACTATAAAAACTAGCTTATACATATTGGATAGCATCGTTTTAACCACCCTGAGTGTTTTGATGCTTATTTTATGAAACTTTGTCTTAAGGGGACTCATACACCTTAAACCCCTTATGATCTTCGAAAATGTGACTGTTGCAAGAATTGGGATATTTTATTTATTTTAAAAGCAATTACTTCCACCTTTTTACATCTGACTACATAATATAGCTGCTTTTGGAAAATAGTAACCAGAAAGTTTGTGTTGCCACAAATATTTTTGTAATTTAATCCTTTTTGTGACAAAATATTTCGCCATGTTTCCACCTTGCGCGCATGATATTTTAAAAATGGCTAATGGTACATACTTGAAATGTGATGGAATTCTTTATATGGGCACTACTTTCTAACTGAACCAACAATCTAATGAATATTTTAATATTGAAACATTTTATGGACGAAAACATTAAAAAATTTTGTGATAAAATACATTTTATAAACTTAACTCAAAATAAAATAAAAATTTAACATGAAATTTTTAGAATTTTAGGTTCACGATAGTTTCCAAATGTTATAAAAGCTATATATTAAATATGGAATTAAATTATGCAACAGAATGTTTTAAACTGTGCGCGCAAGTTGGAAACATGACGAAAAATGTTGTCACAAAGGGGATTAAATTATAAAATATTTGTGGCAACACAAACTTTCTGATTACTATTTCAGAAAGCAGCTATATTATGTAGTCAGCTGTAAAAAGTTGGTAGTAATTGCTTTTAAAATAAATAAGTTGTCCCAATTCTTGAAACAATCACCTATTCGAACATCTTATGGGTTTTAAGGTGTATGAGTCCCTTTAAGAAATGCGTAAATAAATGAAATTAAGATTTCATTTTGATAATCAGAGAATACATGAATTCAAATGTACTTTAAACAAGTTTTCTATGTAAGAAAAACCTTAAAGTGTAAAAATTTTAGAAAACTAAATGCTTCTTTTTTCACCAAATTTCCGACTAGATTTCCGGTATGTCATTAAATTATAGAAAACAATGAAAGCATAGCTGTCATTTGGACTTATGTTCGAACTAAAAATTAATTATTAAGACAAAGTAATGGCAAGAAGTTCACCTCAGAATGCTGTCTGCTTAAAAGACTATAAATAAGATGTTCCACAGACTATAAATAATCTTCTGTATTTGATCCTTAAACAATAAGATGGTTTTGTGTACTAGTTGATCCTAATGAAATTACAATGGATCTCATTGATATCGTCATACAAATCATGCTTTTTCTTTTCTGTAATTACTATTTTAGGCAATTCATCACTTAAGCAGCTAATTTAATTAATGATTGAAAGGAAGAACTCCTGTTAGTTAAACACTTGCAAATTTATTCCTAATTGTAAGTCAAAAATGCTTGCAATATATATATGTGGAGATCATCGACGACCGATGCTGACTTAGCGATTTACCAGCGTTGACGTCATCTCAGCATAGCTCAGTGCGAATCATCCCAGACAACGTCAGATAGCGTCCAGACATGGACGAGAGTGGAGCGAAGTTCCGGCGAGTGGAAGGCTTGCTAGTCTTCAAAAGTTAAAGAAGACAGACGTTTTCTTGGGCGTTCAAGTGACTTTAGCTGATCATACTATGTAAAGCTAGCTGTGGACTAACGTATTCTATCAACGCCGGAAGAACTAATATTGTCTGTGATTGTGCATCATTACATGAATCCTGTGGACTGATAATTCAATCCTGCAACATTAATTTTTACTTTACCTTTATTACTTTTATCTATTTCCTATTAGTAAAATAAAAGCATTTAACAATGCAATATTCGTGTTCTGCTTTGAAATTAAAACATATATATATATATATATATATATATATATATCATGGATACACATGAAAATATTTACCATTACTCGTAACCAAACGTTTTACATAAATACGTTCATTTTTTTGGAATTCCTGAAGATTATCTGATTAATTTTTTAGTAAAGTAATAAACGTTGTTTTGTAAAAGTGTTTAAGTATTTAATTGATTGCAAAAAACGAAATACAAATCTCTCACAAAAATTAATTCACGCTTTTGTATTGTACAAAATGCTTTTTTAAAGGTACAAAATGAGGTTTCCAGAATTTTAAATGAATTAAAAGCTTTAAACTCTAGTAAAAAACACTGCGTATAAAAACTTAATATAAATTTCTCACAAAATATTACCATAAAATACCAGCAGGTTATCAGTTTACAATACGTTTAATGTTTATACTGTTTTTAGGCACAATTATTTTCGACCGATATTACTACTTCAATAAAAATTTTAATTCAATAAATTTGATTATAGAAGTGAGTATAAAAAAGTTAATTTATATTTAAAATATGTTTAATGTTTATATTATCTTTAGCGACAATTTTTTTCAACCGGTGTTACTATTTCAATAAAATTCTTAATTCAAAGAAATTGAGTATAGAAATGTGTATAAAAAAGTTAGTAATACGTTAACATACATTTGAAAACTGAGAATATACATTTATGCTTTCTTTAAATATAATTAGTTGTGTTTCTTATAACATAAGCCAATTGATGATATATTAGTTTGAATAACGAGGAAGTTACATAAAATTAAAATTTTAAAACCTCCTATATGATTTCTTCCTCCTCTTCTCTTTTCTAGCTTTTATTTGAAAGGTTATAGAATGCAATACGGTCGTTAATTCATGACTAATACAGGGCGAGATTCACTTTATCTTTGACTAAACTTCTGAAAATCCAAAGACTAGATATATCGCAAACACTTGCGTTATACAAAAGGAGCAATGAAGATTTAAAGGTATATTACGTGCAGTAAAATGTTGCCACCTTCAAATAAAATAATAATATTTAATATGAAGTTACCTCTAGGACAATCTTAAGCTACCCATTACCAAAAGAACTCCTTTAAATTACAAATTTTCGGTCGGACTGTATAGAATGAAATTCTTCATCTCTTTATTTACAATTCTACTGAAATATTTTCAAACGCGTGTACGGTTTTACAGTTTGAATTAATTTAAAGTAGATATGGAATTTATTAATTAATTATTACTTAGACATATTGTAGGATGTGTTTAAGGGAAATGATGTCTTAGTGAAAGACCTTTCTTAATGGAAACTACGGCTTTCTATTGCATTATGCATACAAAAAATAGTATTTCAGCATCCATAAAAACAGCTTGGACAGTAGGCCGAAATAGGAGCCTCGGGAAAATAATTTCTGCTTAATGACTTTAATCACTCAGTTATAAAGTGTGGGCCTGATTTAAAGTAGGCAAAATGACTAAAAAAAAAAAAAATCTGAAATGTTTCAGATTTTAAATTACGTCCAAAGGAGCTTTTTTTAACATTTTGTGTGTTACCTTTTTTTATTAAATATCATGTTCCTCGCACTTAAACCATAAGATCTAGTGCAACAGCAATATCGCAAAATAGTTTTAAAACGAGCATATCTTTAGAATTTCCGATACAGAGACTCACGCGCTGGAGATAAGAATGTTTTTTTCTGCACAACGTTGCCATTGCTCGCTTTGAAATCCTTGAGTTTGTTAATCAAAAATTCGTCAAAGTTTTAAAAAATAGGAAATCGATCATAAAACAAATTTCAAATTTCAAATTTGGTCTTCCACATGCTCATATTCGTTGGAGGATTACGTTATTCAAAATTCGATGACTCTATGTACCGTTGTTTTATCACAATACGAGAAATATACATACATTTATGCAGATTTTTCATTATTTAATTTCTTCAAATATAATGCAGGACTCTAACATTTTGTGGCAACAGTTTGAAAAGTGAACCGACATTTATGAGTCCGACGCAAAATGCTAAAACGAAACTAATAGTCCTTCGGGATTCAAATCCCTTTGGACTAATGAGAAATAAAGTACCTTACCTTAGCAATCATCTTTCAAGTGTTTGTTTCCAGCTTTGTTGAACTGAATGATACCTTCTATACTTCAGATGTCGGTATATATACTCCTTTCACACCTTGAAAAGTAAGGGGTGCGAATTTTATAAGGAAGTTATTACTTAAAGGTCATTTGAACGCCACGCCTTTTTTGTGGGTTAAATGGCATTGAACGTCGATGTTTATTGACGAAAACACATCTCTCATATACAGTAACTGGAGTATAGTATTGCATCAGACGTCTATTCTAAGGCAAACCTTATTAATGAAGAGATAAAAACAACATATTTTCTTTATTTTTCGCATTAAAGCTGAAATAAGTACTTAAATAAAAGTAAAATATTGAAAATATACAAGAGCTTTTATATTGTCTGTGGTTCAAGGATGTATTAATTATGTCACAAAACAAATTTGTATGCAAGCAGAATGTTGTTCTTTACTTTAATTAAGAAATGATAATTAGAGCATGGAAATCTTTTCTTAACCAAAAAATAATTCAGATATACAAACTATTTGCTCCTTATTTCAGATAATGGGGGCTAATATACTTTTTTTAACTGCCTGAAAAATCGGATAAAATTTAAGAGTGATTTTGATTTTATATCGATTGTTGCAAATCACTTTATAATTTCTTTGTTATGCTGTTCTTTCTAAATCTTTCCTTGATTTTTAATGAATTTAATGTTACAAAAAATTAAGATAAAATGCATATTTGGATTTGATTGGATTATTCAGATAATGGCATAAGTATATTAAATTTCGGTTCATTAATATGCCTTATTGTCGTTGAATTTTATATGACTTCTTAATTTCACATTGAAGTTATAAACAAAATGTAAAAAGGTAACAATTACTTACATAAAATGTATAATATGCATATAATATATGTTGATCTTTCCTTAAAACTGCATTTAGCAGATTTATTAGTCCAAAGGGTGTTAGCTTAGAAGGGCTATTAGTTTCGTTTTTCGTTTTGCCATTTTGAGTCGAAAACTTTAAAAGTGTGAATCACTTTTCAAATTGTTGCCACCAAATATTATCGCCCTCCATTATATTTAAAGATATTAAATAATGAAGAACCTGCAGACATGCATGTACGTTTATCGCATTGTAATAAAAGAACGGTAAGTACAGTCATCAAAGTTTGAATAACGTACATCTCCACCCGAATATGGGCATCTGGAAGCTCAAATTTGGAATCTGGAATTTGTTTTTTTGTCTATTTCATATTTTTTAAGCATTAATGAATTTTGATTTTTAAATTATTTTGCGATATTGCTGTTGAACTGAATTTTAAGATTTAAGTTCGAAGAACAGGATATTTAATAAATAAAGGTAACGCAGAAAACGTTCAAAAAACGCTCTTTGGCCGAAATATAATTTTCTGAAAGCTTTCAGATTTTGTTTCTTGATTATTTTTTCCATAAGCAGTAATGCTCTGAGATTATCTAAGCGCCAAATCAACGACTGGCATATTGTTGACTTATTTCCTGCAAGGGGGAATCTGTTTAGATTGATTTGAATCATTACATGACGAATTTTGCTTCGAGTTGCACTGTTTAAGATTACATTTTATGAATTATAGTAAAATTCATGCATTTACAAATTCATTTCAGTTAAATGGTGTTCTGCTACTTTACTTGCAGATCTCAAACATTATACTACTATCACTGCTGCAATGCTGCAATCTAAGCTAAAATTCCATTAGTCAGTTTAAAACTTTTTTCGTATTTTGAATTAGATAAATGCTTGTAAATAATAAACATAAATGCAAAATAAATAAAGTAAATATCTAGCAATAAAGGTTTTGCAAAGCAATTTGTGCTTATGTTTGGTTGTAAACCAAGAAAGTTGTGTTTTATTTTACCTAGCAATGTTTGATCGCCGCCCAGATGGTATAATAATTAGGAGAGCCTGCTGCAGTACCGAAAGGCCCAGGTTCGAATCCGGAAGAAGGGATGGTTGTAATTTTCCCTCCCTTTATAGGAGGTAACGGTGCCACTTTATGGTGGCACCGAATAGGTGAACACCACAACCACAATAAAGTGGCCACCACTTCCGGACTTAGTAGTGTCTAAGCCTAAATCGATTTCTTTGTTTAAGGTTGCATGCAGTCTAATTCGCAAAAACGCAAAACGTCAGAAATTCTTCATTCCAGTAATTAGCGGCTTCAGCTTCTAAAGAACGCATAATTTTTAAAAGAAAATAATTACAGTTTTCTCATCTTTATTTTTTTTAAGATGAAAAGTTATTTAGTTTATTAAACAGTTTTCTTTACCAATTTATTAGGAAATGATATTCTTGAACTATTTGATTTCAAAGAATGACTGAAAGCTGATTATATAGATCCTACCTAGCAGCGAAATGTTGAACTGCATTGAAAATAATTTCTAAGAGAAGAGAGGCTTTTGGTGATGTGATGTAAGAAAGATAAAAGCCCTACGCTATACTTTGAAAAAAAAAATCTTCTGTTACTAGCTTGTAAATATATTTTTAATAAATGGTTTGGTTTATGTGATTATAGAAAAGCTTCTAGGGCTCTCTGTCTAACGGAAGGAACGCCTTCGTGGAGGACTTTCTAAGGGAAACTGGCTCGTATACACTTTTACACATGGGGTAAACCACGGAAACGCCGATGAAGACCGGGATTCGAACCTCGGACTGAACTACCAGTGTTCAGCCACTTTACCGCTCGGCCGCTTGTGGGCTTTTTAATAAATACAGAATAAGGCTATGGAATGTAACTGTTTAATTGGCCCTCTGTATATCATGCCGGTGATGTTTCTCAAAATAATAGAGATTAAATCCTCTAATTTGATAGCAAGTGTTTAACTAATTGATTTAACCACTATATTTTTAGCTAAAGAAATGTAGTTGTATGCTGTTACATCGAACAGTTTCAATTATACGCAGGTTGGGGGTGTAGGCATCGTAGTTCCATTTTTTAATTACATTATAGTGACAGTTTCACTGAAGTAACTACCAAATGTTTCTCTGTATATTCTGCCTATATACATTTTTCTAAATATATTCTAATAAATTAATAATATATAATAAATTAATAAATGTATAATAGATTAATAAATGTATAATAAATTAATAATAATTTTGTAAATAAATATATTTTATAAATGCAATACGTCACGGACGCAACATTGAGAAATATGCAATTTTCTTTAAATCTCAATGATTAAATACTAATATTTCATCAACATTGTTATTTTATTTTAAGTACTTTTAATAAAAGATGGTTATGCGATATAAAAATAAAAATGGTTATAGACGATTAAAAATGTCCCCGCATTTACACTGCCTGTTCCAAATTTAAAAAGAGGTATTTTGTACCGTTAAGGACGTTTACACAAAATCCTTTTGCACAAATTAGTAACAGAAACTCATATTTAACAATCATTTTTAAATTCCAGAGGGAAATATTTCTGTATGAATATAAGGAAAATTTTCCTTATCCTACATTTAAGATCTATAATGAGTTTTAAATTATTTGAAAGTTTAAAATTCACTAAAGCTAAGAAGAACATCTTCTAAGACATTAATTTTGATTTACAAAAACTAAGAGAAAACCAAAAAATATTTAAAGAAGAAATCGAGATCTGTATTTGGTCCAGAATTCAAAAAGTGTTGTTCCTGAAGCCTCAAATTTCTTCAACGATTTTCTGATCACAATAGAATAATTTAATTTCATAAGTGTGACGCAAATTGCACATATATTTGTGGTTGAGAATTAAGAATCTCTGTATCACCTACATATTTTATTAATTTTGATTCTATTCAAAGTTAAAAGAAAAAATTATGTATAAACGAAAGTGCCATCTTTTTCTGTGCAAGTGTGTGTGAAAACAATTATCTGGTGCTACCTTCCTCGTTTACCATTATGTCTATGAAATTATTTGCCTCAATTTCTGCTATCGCTCTAACAACAAACTTTTCAATATTACCACGTTTTGTAAGTTGTACTTATAAACGATACTAGTACGTGTACTAGTATCAAAGAAACAGAAAGAGAAAAACTTACTTAAAATATGATACGGAAGTTTTTAGACACTAAGCAGCTAAGTCGTTTTAGGCTTCACTCTTCATTTACGTAAGATGAGCTTAAACCAATAATTTTCAATACTTAAAATAACATTTCATTTATATTTTTTAAAGTTTAAAAGTCTAGTTTGGGGTTATTAAGACAAAGATTTAATTAGGAGGTTATGTTCTGGCTCCGTTAGGCTCGAGTTAGGAGTACCTGAAATAGTATGACATTTTACTAGACATGTTTTAACGATTCTGGCCCAAATTTGTTATCTATATTGCTAAATATAGTACAATTAAATTATTTTTATAATAAACTAATAATACTATAAAATACTATAATACTATAAAACTAATTATTCTACTATTAAATGACTCATGTTTACTGCTATTCAGCAATTAAATCACTTATGCGTTAATAAATCACTTTATTACTATCAAATCGCTTATATTTATCATATATACTACTAGATACACTATAATTAATAGATACACTATAATTAACTATATATTTTACAGTTAAATCACTTATGGTATAAGATATTTTCCCCCTTCTTCCAGCATGCCTTCATGATGTAACGGTTATCACAGTAGGCCCGCATTCGAGAGATACAGGTTCCATTCCTGGAGAGGGCAGTGCTACGTTTTCATGTCTCCTGCTTTAAAAATCCTAATGAGTCTATAATGTTTTCCTCTTTTATCCAAATAAATCACTTATACGTTATTAAACTACTTCATTACTATCAAATCACTAATATTTGTCACATGTATTGCGAGTTATACAATAATAAACATACAAAAAAGTAGCCTACAAAGATATTCAGATTGCATCTAAAATACTCGTATACTCTATTAGAATCATCTTAAGATATATTTTTGTTTTTCAAGAATTAAAAATTCTAAACAAATTGGATTAAAACAGCGATAATTTAAAACAAGTAAATGCTGATCATTTTATTCAAATTTTGAATATGTTACTGAAACGTAAAACGATATGAAGCAGAGTATTTTATTCCTTTTAACACGATATATTCACGTGAATTGGAACTAGTTTGTAATAATCGCTTTCCGTAGTTCGTAC